ATCCAGTGGATCAGAGAGAAGTTTATTTTCCTCCCCCCCCTTTTTTTCCAAATTCATGTGAAAGTTATATTAAGTTTTGTAAAGGAATAAACACTTTTAAAGACAAACCTATATGAAGACAGAGCCCTTTATTTAACACTTGTACATGTGCGTTTCAAAAAAAAAAAAAGAGTATGCAGAAACACGCCAGAGTTAAAACCACAGAACCTTAGAAACAGCTGGTTTATATTCCCCTTATTCTGTAATCCAGTGGATCAGAGAGAAGTTTATTTTCCTCCCCCCCCTTTTTTTCCAAATTCATGTGAAAGTTATATTATGCTTTCATTTTCTTAGGACGTAAGATGTAAGTATGAATTTTTCTGTTGCACGATCAGAATGTCCTTGTTTTTAAATGTTTGCAACCTGTGTGTGACACAGGTACAAGCTCCTCTGTTTATTTTGGGTCCATAGACTTTATTAAAATAATACATCACAGGCTGGAGCTGTGGCTTTCTCTACATTTTAAAAACAGATACGACTAGTATACTCGTTCATTAGCCCGTTCATTTATAAGCCGACCCCACCCCCCAAGATGGTTAGGTAAAAATAGCAAAAACTGTATGACCCTTTCATAAACCGACCCTATATTTCAGGGGTTGGCAAACTTTGGCTCCCAGCCATCAGGGTAAGCAGCTGGCAGGTCAGGACATTTTGTTTACTTGGAGCCCTTCAGCTCCCTGTGGCGGCGATTCGCCGCGTTACCAGCCAATGGGAGCTGTGGGAAGTGGCTGGGAATGGCGAACCGTGGCCACAGGGAGCTGAGGGGCTCCGTGCCTACAGACGCTCCAGGTAAACAAAAAGACAATGTGTTAGATATTCAATTCAATGATTCCATAGAGTTTTAAATCATCAAATTTTGGTGTAGACCCATTTATAAGCCGATCCTCGCTCTTTGATGCGTCACTTTTTTATGAACGAGTATATACGGTAATTAGGCTAGCTAGCGATCCATGCACTGTAGTCTGCCTTAGCAATGCCCTTCAGTTTGCTGGGTTTTTTACACAGACTTCTTTCCTAACTTTTTAAATGCTTTTAAAGTTTTAACAAATGGTGAGATTACATTGAAAGACACTTTATGAAAATTATAACAAGTATTTTATTCCATTTACTGATTGTAAAAGCCAAAAACCATCGCTTTGTGACTGCATGAAGCTCAGAGATACCCTATCTGAAGAACACCCCACCCCTCAACTTTTCCTCCATACTTTTAAAACTTGCTAAACATGCAGTGTTCCATTATATAAAGGGTTTTTTAACATGTAACATGAAAATAAAGGTTTTTTAAACATTTAACATTAAATACAGCATTGACTGAGATGTAACATAACATGACCTTTTTAAAGGATATTCTGTATGCAGTGAGGCTTATTTGAAGCATTATCTTTGTTTGCCTTTTTAAAGTTTAACATGAAAAAGCAATATTGACTGAGCTGTAATAAAACAAGGCCACTCTTAAGGAAGCAAGAAGTATACTGTGTAATTTGCTATGGCTTGTTAGCAATGTGATTACTAGACCTGTCTGTGCCACAGGATTTCATCTGAAGAATAAGCTAGAAGATTGTTAAATTACTCAAATTTCAATAAAATGAGCACCCTTCTTAGGGGCACAAGCATAAAAACATGCTGGGTCAAACTAAAAGTCCATCTAGCCCAGCATCCTGTCTTTTAGCAATGACCAATGTCAGGTGTTTCAGAGAAAATAAACAGAACAGGCAATGATCAAGTAATCATTGCAGCCCATTCCCAGGTTCTGGCAAACAGAGGCCAGGGACACTGTCCCTGCCCATCGTGGCTAGTAGCCTCTATGAATTTCTTTCTTTCTTTTACAACAACAACAAAAAACTCCTTGTTATAGTCTTGGCCTTTACAACGTTTTCCGACAAAAAGTTCCACAGGTTAATTTTGCAGTGTTTATTTCCCTTTTGTTTATTTTAAACCCGCTGCTTACAAATCTTAGTTGGTAACTCAAGTTCTTGTGTTATAAAAAAAGAAATAAATAGCACTTTCTTATTTACTTTCTCAACAACAATCAGGATTTCATAGACCTCTATTGTATTCCCAGTTTATTTTTCTCTTTTCCAAGTTGGAAAGTCCCAGTATTGTTAATCTTTTCTTATGTAAATTTGTTCCAGACCCCTGGTTTTTGTTGCTTTTTTTCCATGTGCTTTTTTTCAGTTATGGCTGTTGCACACTAAGTGAATGTTTTTAGGGATCTATACACAATGATTCCAGTACCTCTTTTTTTTTTGCATGATAGCAGCTAATTTAGACCCCATACTTTTATATGTATAGTTAGAATTATGTTTTTCCAGTGTGCATTACTTTGCATTTGTCAGCATTGAATTTCATCTGCTTCATCACCCAGTTTTGTAAGATCCCTTTGCAACTCTTTAAAGTCTGTTTTGCACTTGACTATCTTGAAGTTTTGTATCATCTGCAAATTTTTGCCACTTCATTGTTTGTTTGTTTTTAATATAGAAATCATTTAACAGTACTGTCTACTGCCAATGTATTCATCTCACAGTCCTTCCAAAATTGCCCTTGTCCTTAGCAATTTGGGAAATGAATTCGAGAAAATAAAACTTATATTTATTTTAAATGCAGTACACTGTACTCTTTAAATTTAAAAACAAAAAAAAAGCTTTGTTTCAGATTCTTAGTCACACTGCAGCTTCTTCGTGCTTATTTGTTTGTTGGCCTAAGTTTAGAGAATGTTAGATGCATCTCCCTCTCTAAACTCGCTCACAAAACTCCCATTTGCTACTCTTGTTCACTAGCTCCTCCAGTTGCTTTTAAAATCCCTGTTCTCCCTGAGTAGCCTGTTTCTGAAGCAGTAACCTTACAACCCTGACAAAAAACTGGCTGGGATGATTTACTTGGGGTTGGTCCTGCTTCAAGCAGGGGCTTGGACCAGATGACCACCTGACGTCTCTTCCAACCCTAATCTTCTATGATTCTAACCATCTGTTTAAGGGTCTAACTCAGAGGTGGCTGGCCACAGCCCCCTCCAGTGATCTCCATTTTGTATTGTCTTCTACAAAAAAGCTCAGCTTCTTTCTGGGACAGAAAGGGAGGAATGAAAGAAAGGCTAGATAGAGGGGAAACAGATATTCAGTGCTAAGGTATTTACTGTCCAATCTGCTTCCTCACAAATTAGGCGTGGTCTACACTGGTCGGTTATTTTGGAATTAGCTGAGTTAATTCAGAAAAAAAATGATTCCATCCACACGAACAAACTGTTTTTGTTTTTTTTTCCAATTTAAAGGGCTCTTTACTCCGATTTCTGTACTCCACCTCGGCAAGTGGAGTAGCGCTTAAATCGAGATCGCAATCCCAGGTTATTGGTACTGTGGTACTCTCAACTCCAATGCACTGGCCAGGTTGTGCTCCCAATGCCTCATGGATCAAAAACATTTTCGTGGGTGGTTCTGGATACATGTCGTCAGGCCCCCCTCCCACCATTAAAGCAATGGCAAAAATTGTTTCTCGCCTTTTTTCCTGGTTACAAAGTAGCAGCCGTGTTAGTCTGTATCCGCAAAAAGAACAGGAGGAACATACAGACAGAAGATATTTATACATAAAGAGAATGTGAAAAGGTGGAAGTACGCATACAGTTG